TATCATAAACCAGCAGCTGAACCCTATGTTACACCATTTCTTTCTGATCATCCTCGTCATGTCTTTAAAAATATTATAGAAAATGCACTTACCAAGGCCGTTCGGTATTCATCTACAATACCAGTATTTGAAAACGAACAACATCGTATTAAATTAATGCTATTATATAATGGGTAAGCTAGGACTTCACATAAACTTAAGAATAATAAATATTTATTATCAATAAAACTGACTTATAGTTATCCATCATCATTCATTAACAAACAATTCCATAAATTTTTCATCGGATACATATCAACATCAACAGCATTTCTATCCAGCAGAACAGAAACAACAATTTGAACAAAAGCGTCATAATATTCTAAAAAAACCAACACAACAACAGTCACAAGTTGCTTTAGGTATAGCAACAGCTGATCATGAAGGTCCTCCTACAGACGAAACCATACACCAGGGAGCAAACAAAGACGATCATCAAGAGAAAACAGATACATTATTTCACAAAAAAATAATTGTTCACTATACACATGAAAGGCGTTTCCATGCTTTTAAACGTGATATGCATCACATACTTGATCAGACATTTCACAAGCAGCTAGACAAGGATATTCAACTGATCGTTGGAAATCGAAACCGTCGAGATGCCAAAAACGAACTCATACGTAAACGACCTAAACAATTCTTACTCCAGAATAAAACTCCAAAAAGTAAGCTATTCATCTTCTCAAAACAAAAAATAGCTATCATGCAATCTTACAATCTTACTTTTCAATTCTAGAAAGAAACAAGACATCGGAACGGACGAAAACAACCGAAAACCTTCGAACAACAAATTAACATTCAAACTATAACAACAAATCTCTTTCATAATTAGAGACTTTGAAAAACTTGCTCTGAAATATTAAAGCAAAATATTGCTTTTGAAATAAATCGCATACCTATGTCACAAAACGACGACCCTTGAATGATAACAAAACCATAATCATTACTAAAAACTTTTATTTATCTTCTAGATGCAAATAATCAATGGAATGCAAAATCAACAATCAACACAAATCACTTCCTTTTTATTCCTCAGCACACACGTCACATTCCACAATATTACAGAATCGGAACGAAAAATCGATCATGGTAGCTTAACACACTACTGTAAAATGAATTTTCTATTACTTTTCGAAGTAACAATGAAATTTCTCTGCAAATTTGGATTCATTCGAATTCAGATTAGTTAAAACCATTTGATAAGACCCTTGAGCAAGGTCGAAATCGATCATGGTAACTTTACACACTACTGTTTCAAATTTATTCTTCTATTAGATTTAGTATTCTTCTAAGTTTAACAATGAAGATACATCTTGTTTTGGATTTTATTCAAAAAATTCAAAATAGATAAGCCATCTGAATGAGTCCATTAGCCCGGACGAAACCGGTCATGGCAGCTCAATCACACCCACTTTACTGTTGGTGTATCTACTAATACTTAGTAGATTTGAAGTAATATGTAGTGATTCAAAAAAATTTTTCATTTTTTCGGATCTTTTCTACTACTACTTAGGCCACTTGATAAGATTGAGTCAGAAACATCGAAATAACTAAAGTTATCGTGGTAACTAATACACACCCACACCCACATCCTCTATTTGGAAAGTTATTTTATCAGTGTCTCCTCTGGAACCCCTATGGGGGTAAAGGGTTAATCTTCTTTCTTAGTTAATGGTTCGTACTTCTTGACATGCATTTCTATAATCGCGATTTCTTTCCCTTTGGACGTATCTTTATTGATTAATGCCTCAGAGCTACAACTTTACAAGCTCTTTCATGGTGAAGCATCACTGCCTTTAAAACTGGTTTATTCTTAGAGAAATGTTTCGTTTACTATTATCAATCAAATAGCGGTCGCATTCGAAAGTAGTTAATGTACATAATGAGACCTTTCGATCGCTTCAATTCTGGTTTGTGCTCATCACAGAGATACACCATGTTCAAAGACATCAATTATTAGAGAAAACAATTCTCTTTATTGTAACAACAAGTTGACAATCGAGAAAAGGAAGTTATTCAAAATCTTCTAGTATGAAACATAAACTAGAAGATTATTATTAATAGGAATTCAAAATATTAGTCGATGTATCATAGTTGACAACCATCCCATTGTCCAATACAAGAATGTGATCACATTGGGCAACTGTATTCAATCGATGAGCAATGATCAAAATAGTTCGATCATGAAATTTGTTCTTGATCAATGTTTGAATAAGATTATCTGTTCTTTGATCAACATTGGCTGTTGCTTCATCGATCAATAAGATTTTCGTATTTTTCAAAATAGCTCGTGCAAAATTGACTAATTGACATTGACCTACACTCAAATTGTGACCCCATTCACTAATCGACATTTGAAGACCTGTGGAATGATTTTGAACAAATTGTTTGAGTTGAACATCTTCGAGTACTTTCCAACATTGTTCGTCTGAATAAGAATCGAATGGATCAAGATTATATCGTAGACTTCCACTAAACAACACAGATTGTTGAGGAATAACAGTCAGATTTGATCGAAGATGATTTAGTCGAAGACGATGGATATTCACATCATCTATCAGAATGTCACCATTCACATTCGATTGATCAACAAATCGAAAGAGTCCTTTGAAGAGAGAAGATTTTCCAGCACCTATACAGACATCGAAAACATGAAACAAATCTCACATTCAAATATGAATACGTACCAGTTCGACCAATAATACCAATCTTTTGGCCTGATTCAATATGCAAATCAATAGTTCTGAGAGCATATGGAAGATTAGCTCGATACCGTAATGAATAATTTCGAAATTCGATTCTTCCCTCATTGGGCCAATCTGGTGAAGTTTTGACAAGATGTTTACAGTCGCCTTCATTTTCTTCTCGAGGTAAATGCCCATATTCATCGATACGTTGAGCACTCGTCATCAGTATATCAGCTTCTACAAATTTTCGAAGACTCCATTGAAAACACGATGCGATAAAGACGGCAGAGATCAAACTAAGTACCGTATCAGGTGAGTCAATTTGATTCGAAAGAAGTGCTATTCGAATAGAGGTAGCTAATAAAATGAATGAACCTAAAACAGTTAATATGAATGCAAAGCATTGTGTTGCAGCTTGTACAATAATATATGCTGATGTATTAACATCCATTTTCTTAGAAATTAATTGAATAAAACTCTTTTCAGCTTTGAATGCTCGAATAGTTGATAAGCCGCTGAGAGATGTTGAAAATAATCGAGCGATTCAAGTTTTATGTCATTAACTTTTGGCCATCTTCAACCCTAGAGTAAGGAAAATGGTCAATTGTTCAATAGAGTGAAACCATTTGCATAAGCATGAACTGATTTTGTCTCTCATACGTTTGCTTACAGAGGCGTAGGCAGGGGAGTGAAACTTTTCAGATCTCTCTTGCCTTATGTGAGCAGATTTCCCTGCAGATGGTACGATAACTTTATTTTTGGCCAGGTTAAGCATCACAGGAGCGCAGATAGAGCAACTACCTAAGCGGAAGTAAAACATTTCTTGAATTGAAAAGACAATTTTGACGTCCGGGTGCGAAAATTTCTGTGCGATAATCATACATTTTAGGCTAAAACAGAAGTTTTATCGCTACTGATTAGCAAAAAGGGAAAACTTCCCAAAGTTAAGAACGTATTTCCTCTCTAATTCCACCGCAAGGTGCATGCCGGAAGCTAGTCATATATTGAGACCGAGCCTGTCTCGGTCTCGGTCAGACCTGATCTTGGTTTTTTTCGAGTCTCGATGCATTTGTCAGGTCTTCCTTTTCTAATACACTGTAGTACAAAGTATGGAAAAAGTTTAGCACACTTTTAGAATTTGGCTAATTTTTACGTTATTTCACAACATCTGAAAGATGTTTTCTATACCATTCGATGCAGAATTTAATGGGCTACATTTTGGTAGAAAGTGCTTA